CAACCAAAGCCTACAAAAAACGTAGGGTTGAAGGCTATGGTAGGTCAAACATCCAAACCCTAACTGCTGACCCAAATCCCCTGAAATCTTGGCCTTGCAGACGAGCTCTCCCATGAAGCCCCAAAGGGCGAAGAGCACCATCCAGAAGATTCCTCCAAGAGTGTTTAGGGTTTAGGGGTGTAGTCCGAGCCGCTGCGAAACCCTAACTGCAACACTAAACCTAAGCCTAAACCATCCTAAGCCTGTAAGCCCTGCAACCGCTCCAACCTTAAACCCGTGAACTCCAAGCCGCTAATCCCTAAGTCTAAACCCTATAAGCCCTTAAACCCGTAAGCCCCTAGGCATACCCAGACCCCAACCCGCAAACCCCCGAAACCCCGAAACCCTAAATTAAAAGGCCCGGTGCTCCAAAACCGTGGCCTTCAACCCGAAGCCCTTAGAGCCTGAAGGAATAGCCCACATGAGTGGTTGTGTCAAAATTAGGGTCCCATTTTGGGGTACCCTAAATATTAGGTGCCGTATTATAATAGGGACCCAAGAAGGGACCCTAATTTTAACAACCACCCTTTATAGAACCCTTATAGATCCCTTTAAGGAACCCTTTAAGGGGCCCTAATTTTGACAACCACTCACATGCTCTGAGAGCTGCAAGGCTCCTGCAAAGGCAACGGCCAGCGGTTGGATGCCGAGCCTGGGAGAACACAAGGAAAGAAAGTTTGGGGGCCGAAAATATGGGGGGGGGGGGGTTAAGCTGAGGGGTTTAGGGTTTAGAGGTTTAGGGGCCGAAAATCTGGGGTTTAGGGTTTAGGGGTTTTTGATTTATGGGCCTCAACCTTACTTGTCGAGTAATTTAACCTCTGGGATAACGTAAGGATAATAGTACTCCGAATGAAAGCGCGAGCTACTCTGCTTCTCACTAATCATCGGAATAGGGTTTCGGGTTTAGGCCAGGGCTTAGGGAAATCACTTGGGGCTTAATGTCCTGGGTTCAAAAGTATGGCCCCCTGGGGAGTGGCTGGGGCTTTGAGGAGGGGGTTCGAACTCCAATTTGGGGGGGAAGGGTCTCAGAACGGGTTTGGGGTTTAGAGTTTAGGGTTTGGGACTTCCATGATTGCAGACTACAATTATGATTTAGAGGAACCACACTAAAAGGGGATGCAAATGGAGTTTGCTAGTAAAGGTTCCGCTCCACAGTACAAGCTTTGGAAAGCGCTGCTAAGCTGTATTATAGCGCTCACGAGCGCTCAAAACCAACGTTATGCCTTGGTGTGCCCTGTTATATCCTTGCAGGGATTTGCAATCCTCACGAACAAACCAAACTATTGAGGTTTGCTGGGTTTCTATTACTTGGCAGGCCCCTGCTATACAACCACCAGTTTCTGCTGGCAAACTCTATTTGCTAGGCCCCCTTTAGGGTGGCCCCTCTAAATCACAGTTTCGTAGAGGATTCTGTATCTAGTGGGGCTTATAAATAGGTTGCAGAGCGGAATAGCGGTACCACTGAGTCGTCGACTTGTCTGCCAGCCAGCGCACAGGTGGAACCTCATCCAGCCTCGCCCCCCACAAGATCCCAAGACTATGGGAATATAGGGGCCTTGCTAATGTTCATACGCTTCCCATGAGGGTTACTGCAGGATACCGTCCTTGAAAGGAAAGGGTTGGCTTCTATTTTGTCATAGTCTACTTACAGTAAGCAACTCTGAGGAACAGCACCAGAAACTCTTGAAGCTTCTCTTGTCCCCCGAAATTTTGGGAACGTAGCTTAAAGTATAATTACACTGCTTGTCAGTCTTACGATTTAGGCTGTGTTCTTCAAGGAAGAGGTAGTGGGCCCTCTTCGCCATAGTGGAATTTCTGTCGAGCGCAGTGATCTGCGGATACTTCAGTGCACTGACTCCTCGGTGTAGGCAGCTTCGTATGGGCTCGGGCCTTGGGCCAGGCAATGTACAGTAGAAGCCAGAAAGTTGGAATATCATTAGCGTAACCTCTTGGAATGAAACTTTGTGCGCAAATAGCTACTGCCTCTTGAAGCCCTAGGAGTACCTACTCTACGGAGCGAACCTTGTCAAGACGGTGCTTTGCCGCGTCATCTGCCAATTACAGAGAAGGTAAGCGCAAACCTCCCCAAGCTCGCCAAAACCCCAGAACCTAGATTCCCTCCGAACCTGAAACGGGCAAACGAAATCCTAATGCAACAAAGACCTGAACAACGCCGGAATTAAAACTAAAAACAAACCTGATCCAGTAATTAAGGCCCCACGTCCAAGCCCGCATGAAGCCGTATGGCACCCTGGAAAACCTCATCAAACTCTGTCACAATACCACAGACCCGAGATCGTCTTCTTGTGCTTAAATTTACGGGCCCCTAAACCAGAAGCCTGTCAGGGTATGCAGGGCAGGATTTAGGATTTGAGGTCTGTGGTGTCGGGTTTGGGATGTCGGGATTTCGGATTTACAGGTTTCAGGGTTCAGGGATCCCCTGAACCCTCAGCCCCAAACCAAAGAAATTACCCCCAGCAAATCCTACACCCCAATTACTCAACCCTAAACTCCAAACCCCAAACCCTCAACCCTAAAACCCCAGACCTGAACCCCTCAACCCCAAAACCCCAAACGCTACAGCCCAGAGGGTGGCCTGGATGAACACCTGTGCTGCTTTGGGGGGGTTCCTCATTACAAGCATAAGATGATAGACCCCGGGACCCCTGTTCTGATTTTTGGGGCCGCAATACAGGGAACTCCAGAAAGTTGGAATATGGTTTCAGGGTAGGATACCTTATAATTTACCATAAAGAGTTTAGGATAATCATATTCCAACTTTCTGGCTTTTACTGTATTATCTGAAGTCGCGGTCTCTGGGTGCCCCGGCCAGAGGTTCACCAGCTGGGCCCTCTCGTCCAAGCTGCGGGATCGCTCCTGCCAGGATTTCGGGCTTCCTTTAAGGGAGTCCTTATGGTACCCTTACGGGTTCGTTTAAAGGGCCACTATAAGGGTTCCTACGAGCCAGGATCATACTGCATGTTGCTGTGTTCCTTCCAAGCAGGGTTCAAGGATCTGTGAGGGTTCATTTGGGAGTTTCCGAGAATAGGGGAACCTAATATAATACCCTTAATAATAGGATCCTTATTATCAGGACTCCCAAATAATGTACCCCAAACGTAGGAAATTCCCATTTAAGGATGGTGCCCTTACTAAAGAGGGGCAATAACCATTCAGTAAAGAATGGTCTTTACATTGAGGGTTTAGGGTGGACAGCGACACTTGGTTAGATCTAAAAATTTCAAGGTCAACAAAGGGCTCCCCGTGGTTCCACTTGAAGGCTCGGGGAGTTACCAACTAGGTGATGTTGAGGGTTACGCTTGACTCACACAGCCCCATACTCCTAGACACTATATACCCCATCAACATCTGCAAAAGCCGACAATTCCCTCAATGAACCCTCTACCCTGTAGCCATACTCTCCATTGTAGTTCCTGTTTGGGCTGACCTTACGAGTCTACATACAAGTTGGCTAAACAACAAAATTGCACTACACCAGGGACTATAGGTAGAACCCTGAACCCTGAACCCGAAACACCCAAGTTGAGCCCAAGCCCAGATGTCACAAGCGTTAGAAACCCCTATAGAATCCTCAAGGCCATGAGGAACCCTTATAGAAATCCATACGGAAATGCTCGTAAAGACCCTATGAAAAGCCCTAAGCCCTAAACCCCTAAACCCCTAAACCCTAAACAAGCTCCTTCCCCATGGTGCTCTTGACTTTTTGGCCACGGCGCGCCCCGAAATACGCTCGAGCCCACAGGAAGACGTGGTAGGCTGGGCTCTTGGTAGGGAAGATAAGGTTTCGGTTCAGGGTTTTTAGTTTAGGGTTTTTGGGTCTTGGTGCGGAACAGAGGGTCTCGCCTTAGGGTTTAGGGTTGAAGTTTTTTGGGGCTCTTGTACCAAGCAGACAGTCTCCGTGGGCTCCTTGCAGCTTTTTGCAAGGGCTTTGTAGACTTTGAAGAGCTTCACCTGAGCTTCGTTGGGCTCTTCTTAAGGAATCTAATGTCATAGGCCGTACGGGGAGGATCTAGTAGTGCACGGTGCGGCTTCCGTAGAATGAAAATGAATATCGAACTCCCTTAAAGGGAACTCCAGAAAGTTGGAATACATGGAATAATGGCAAGATCCCCTATAATTTACCTTAAAGGGATTATGATAATGATATTCCAACTTTCCGGCTTCTACTGTAACAAGAACCGCTTCGGGCTTGCGGCGCCTGAAAATGCTCTTAACCCTACTACACAGCAAAACGTGCCTGAGACTCCAAAACACCGAACTTCAAGGAACTTAAGTTTAACGAAAGACTCTAGAAGTATCCTCCACATGATCCACTACATAAGCTTTATAGTTGTATCTCTTTCCTGAGGGTTGCGGAGTCTTCGGGTACTTCGTTTTGTTGATATACGTGCTGCATTACCTTAAGGACCCTAAACAATGGGAATTATGGTATATTCCTTATTATGGGTAATGCAGGATTCATATCATCCACCGTTCCTCTTCTCCTCGCCTCTTCCTCTTCCTCTGGTCGCAAGCGCTTGAGTCTCTAGCCCATTTCTCGGCCTGACAAAGATTTCCGGCCGGGAAACAGCACTGTCCAGGCTGACAAGGGAACCGAGCAGTAAGAGGGTGTAACTCATGAGACTTAGTAAGACTTAAGAATTAGAAAGCTACGAGGAGAGCTATAGCTAGGATGGCCCCCGATTGGGAAATTTCTACTGTCTTGGCAGCGCTCAAGGCGATGCACCCTTAGCCTAAACAATGAATACAGGCAGTGAACAAGTGTTGAACACGCTAAAAGGGACGGTCCTATCATTGTCACAAGCTCCGTGAACCCAAGTTAATGAGGATGATGAATCCAAAATTCGGGTGTCTACCGCAAACCCCCCAAAAAGAGTATGTTCTCGAACACCCAACACCCTAAATTAAGTCCTACTCTAGGTCCAACTTTCCGCGGCAGCTCAGGAGACGAGACCGCAGTCCACGATGACCTCGGCCCGCGCGTCAAAGGGCCCCTCATGGCGCGAGCAGCTGATTTATCCTAAGTATTGGTAAGGGTCCGTGTGCCCACATATCGGGTTCCTTTCAGGGCTTCTTTAAAGGTTTGTCAAACTTACCTGGGGCTTCTAGGCATCACTATAAAAGGCTTTGTAGGGTCCATGTGTAGCACATAATACTTCGGCCCCAAAGGTGTTCTTACGTGGTGACTTCAGGCCCTAAGAACATACTGTATAGTATAGGGACCTCTACAAGGGCCGGGGACACGTCGAACGAGTGCAGGCTTCAGGGTAATATATTCTGGCTCACAGACTCGCAGAGGAATGCCCCCGATCGGCTCCTAGCACACCCTAAGTCCTAGACTCGATTCCAAACTAAGTCCGTAGTCCAGAAAACCCGACAATCCCAACACTACCCAAGTCCCCATGGGCCCTATCGGCCCCAAACCTCTGCAACACCCGAAAACACTAAAGCCCCGATATCGTGAAAACCCCCATGCCAGGATAGAGCTCAATGCACCTTACTTGTTACGTTGATTGGGGAATACACGTTGGCCCAAAACTGCAGTTGGACGGAGGAGTGACACTGTTCCTCAGGGTTCCAGGTTATAGCTATGCTGTAATAGGCTTCTAACGGTTGATGATACAAATCCTGCATTACCCATAATAAGGAATATACCATAATTCCCATTAAGGCAATGCAGCACGTATGTCATCAATCGAATGGTATATTCCTTATTATGGGTCATGCAGGATTTATGTCATCAGCCGAATGAATAAAATAAGGCTCCATGTACCCTTGTAGTATATACTTTGGCCTTAAAGTACCTATGTAGGGACCCCCTTTAAGGCTTAAGTATTTACTATAAAGATACATGGAGCCTTTGGGTTAAGGAGCCCGTGCCATGTTAGCGCTCCGAGGTCCCGGCCACAGGGAGCTGAGGCTTATCCTGCTTTCCGAAAATAGGGGACCCTCATATAGAACCCTTAATAGTAGGCTCCTTATTATAAGAGCCCCAAAGTAAGGTAACCCTAATTTGAGGGCCCAGGGTTTGGGGCTTCAAGATCCTTGGCTTTAGGGTTGGGTTTAGGGGGGTTTGGTGGTCACGGCTTCCATAAAATGATAATAATAGTAAATTGGGGCATCACCTGCCACACAATTTGAAACATCCAGGCTTCAGTACTATGATGCACAAGAAACACTGCTGGCTAAACCCGAATTGAAACCCCTAAACCCGGTGCTGAAGCAAACTCAACGAGGAACAATCAGACCCTTTGCGCCCCAAGCCTGTAATCTCGAACATGCCCCCTACAAGTCTAAGTGAACAAAACCATAGCCTCACCCAAAGCTTCCCTCTAAACCCGGAACCCCAGTCCATGGTACCCCTAGAACTTTACACAAGGATCTATGTAACATCAACCCAGCAAACTCCACTCCCTCCGAAGGCTAGCAACAACCAAAACGTGGAGATCCCAAAACCAAAACCCGGGCTTAAAGGAGCCATAGACCAAAAAAACAACCCCCAAGACGTGCCCACGAGCCTTATCCTTATATATTATATATATATATATATATATATATATATGTGTATATATATATATATGTATATATATATATATATATATGTATGTATGTATGTATATATATATATATATATATATATATACATATATATATATGTATGTATGTGTGTATATATATATACATGTATATATATATATATAGAGAGAGAGAGATATATAGAAAAATATGTATTATAAGACCATTATGCACTGCACACATCGACCCATCAGGACACGAAACTGTAATATATACAAGAACGGCATGGCAGAGTTCTTCGAAGCCCGATTCTTCTTTATACTACGAGTAGTAACGATGAGCAATTTGTCTTGATATTCGGGCATAAATCCCTAAACCCTAAACCCTAAACCACCCATCAAAGCGTTCCTCTTTCTCGGTGCCGGCTTCGACCTCCGTGCGGTCAATGACCTTCGGAGAATTTGAACATAGGGGGAACTCCAGAAAGTTGGAATATGGATTAATGGTAGGATCCCCTATAATTTACGTTAAAGGGGTTACGATAATGATATTCCAACTTTCTGGCTTCTACTGTAGGGCTTGAACGTATTGGGGGTTTGGGGTTTCGATCCCCGAAAGCCCGAAATTCCGGGAGTGGAGGACAAAGCTGGGAAGGATTTGGAAAAGGATGGCATGGAGTCGAGCGAGGTTCATGATGTTGAAACACTGTCAAGCTTCGCCTATGTTTGGACAGAATACGCAATGCATCGGTAGACATGCTTTCTGAAGGTCCACCTGGCAGGGAGCATTGCAGAAAACCGAAATCGGAAGGCAGAAAGGTACGTCCAGCTGTCGCTGGCTCAGGTTTGTGAAAACCAGGCAATAAATTGGAGACGTAAGCCTAACTACAGCAGAACATCCAGCCCTAACACAGCCCAACCCCGTCTCAAGAATTTGTTTGACAGATCATCCAGATCATCCTTGCGGCATTTGTTTCTTTGAGAAAGCCTTCTGCCTGGTTTCGCTCTGGAAATTTGTGCTGCCAAGATGGGACGGCAGGAAAACAACATGTTAAAACAACGCGCCGAGAGCCCATAAATTGAAGCCCCTCAACGCTAGTGACCAGAAATTACTAGAGCCATCGACAAAATAAGTCTCTGAGAAGGATATCGGGTGAATGTTGCCGAATGTTCAAGTATTCCGATGTTCAAGACCCCCCCCTCCTTCAGGAGCCCTACTCCGGCCTCCATGCCCTCCACCACACGGCCGATGACGACGTGCTTTCCGTTCAGCTGCTTCAGCTCACCTCAAGCCACTAGCCCCAAGCAACCGACTCCCAAGACCGCGCCTGCCCAGACCTTCCAAAACCCATTAATTAAGGAATATACCTTAAATTAGAGTAGGATCCTTAATATGATTTAAGGTATATTCCTGAATTAAAGGGTTTTGGAAGGTCTGGGTGGTTGTTGGGTGCTGGTGCTCGAGCTTACTTACCTTTGCTTGGTAGGGAATGGAGGACTTGGGTACTATTATAACTACTGTTACTACCATTCTTCCATTCCCTACTAACCAAAGGCAAGTTTAGGTGCCGAGTGACGCAGTCTTTAGTATACTGGGTTTAGGACCATCGAGGGTTGGGAGCCGTACTGCTGCACCTACATACCGAAGCCTGGAAAACCGGGAAGTGACAACCAGTGGCCGCGCCACAAAAACTGAAAGTAAAGGCGCAACAGGGCAGGTCTCAGTGAAGGACAAGACCCTTTGAAAAAATCTTCGTAAACCTTACAGAACTCGTCTGTGGATTTCGGCTCTCCCCAGCTCCCTGTCACCCCCTCTCGTTCGGCATTGGAAAACATCCCGAACCTTAAAAGACCCGCACCAGAAGAACCCCAACACCAACACAAGACCCAGATTTTGGGTACGGGTGCTCGAACTTGTCATCTGAGACCCATGCGGTTCATATTATTGAGTTATAATATAATTCTACACTGGGATAAAGAACCCAAGTGAACAGCATTCCTGCTTGAATTCGGCCTTTACATGAACCATGCCGGCTTCACCGAAGGTGATGAAGAACTGGCAGGTGTTCGAGTTCTTACCTCAGGGGCGGCTTGCACTGCTAGCACTCCGATCTGTTTCGGGGGTCTCTTTGACTGTATCTCCATACCAAACTCCAGACATGGAAAGCTACCCCGGAGCCGAATAACGTATGGGCCATTGAGAGACTATTTGCATTGGATTTTGGTGGCCGATAAGTGTGTTGTAGCTAAAACCAAGAAACCTAAGGAAAAGCATCAAACCTTATTCAGGCTTCTCCCGGGACCCTGAACCCTGAACCGATATTCTATATGATCTCTCTCTGCAGTGTGGGTTCGTATCTTTCGGGCTCCCGGCCCGTGTTGGACATGGAGACGATGCCTGAGACTGAGGCTTGCAGTTCAGTATTTCGGTTTCGGTTTCCAGGGTTACACCAGAAAGGTTCCGATCTTCAGGGGTTTAAGGGTTCACGGGTCTGGGGTTTAGGGTTTATGGGTGTTCGAATCAGGGTAAGGGTTAGCATAGCTTCAGGTCTATGGGTCCAGGCTTGAGGAGCAGCTCTTCGATGCTTAAGGGCAATCTGTTGGAGCGCAAGGCCACTGAGCACAGTTTAAGGTTTAGGGGTAGTCTTCACAAGACAGATTACAGCTTCAATGTACGATCACCATGATGTACCGCAGTATGTAACACCAACCAATCACACGCCTGGTCACTCTACTGTGCACAGACAACTGGATCTATGTGAGATAGAACGGATATTGGGTTTCTGCAGTACCAAGGCACTGCGACAACTGTGCCGAAAAATGTGCATCTATCTGTCTATCTTCCACTGTCTATCCACCTACCCACCTCTGTGCCGATCATGCGCGGCCGCAGTTGCTGAGCCAGCGAGACTATCTCCCAAGGAAATAAGCACATTCGTAGAACCCAGACCCCCGGGAGGATCCAGAAAGTAGATCCCCTAATATGGGGCCCTAAACTACTAAGGGTAGTTTATAGGAACCCCCATTAAGCGGTCTACTTTTTGGATCCTCCAAAGGGGGTCTGGGAAGTCAATGGCTTCGGAAAAGCCCTCGTCGTCAGTCTGCAACTCGCAGGCCTTGAGAGTCGGGCAAACTTTATTGGACATTTTGCTGCCGGATCGCACGGTTTAGAGTTTAGGGTTTAGGGTTTAGGGCTTAGGGTTTAGGGTTTAGCGTTTAGGGTATATAGGGGCCTTAACAATTAGAATAGGGTTTTGGGGCACATGATACAATAACTGAAATAAGGAACGCCCAAAATGGTACAGTATTGGTAATTATGTAGGCCCCTATACTATTCTTGGGCAAAGGGCAGTTGAATCGCATGCCCGACACGAACTCGACCACTTGTTGAGATTTGCTCTATCATTGCCCGCCCCTGACACTGCTCATGCGGCGCATGCTGCGGCGTCAAAAGGGTCCAAGTATCATCATGGTATACACTTAGACCCCCAAAATGCCCTATAAGTATGTACCAGAATGATACTTGGACCCTTTGCGGCGGATGCCACAACGAGCTTGTCTCCGGCACCGGAGGGAGTTGATAAACATCTCCCAGGAGAAGAATTGAAAAGAGCGGTCGAAAACAATGCTTGGCTGCATGTAGAGTTGCGGCTGCAGCTGATGCCTTTCCAGCCGCGCGCATGTCAGCCAAAGGTTGCACCGTGCAGCAGCTGACCACTGACTTGCGAAACTGCCCACTTACCTACCTACCTACCTACCTACCTATCTTTTTGTCTATTCAGCTATCCATGGTGTATTATCATACCCACCAATAGTTAGCATGTTAAATAAAGCCGGACAGATACATCCTGTGCCACTTGAGCTTGTTACACGAAAACAGGTGCAGGGAGTATGTAGTGGGACTTATCGTCGAGGCGCAATTGTTTGATCAGAATGGGCTTGGGGCTCCGCTTATGAATCCCAGACGGTTAAAGGCTACCTAGGCCCCGCAAGTCTACTTTGCTACAACTAAAACTACCCGTAATCGGGCTACACATGAGACTCAACTCAGCGAGGCTACTGTTTTGCACAAAACCTGCAGGGTTCCTTGCCCACACTCCTGGGGCTTACGGTCTAGGGTTTAAGGGTCAGGGTTTAGCGTTCCCGAAAACACGACGGCATCAAGTATTTAAGAAAGGGGCCTGGATAATTAGAAGAGGTTTTGGGGCCCAATTATACAAAAAATGTAATCAGGAACCCGCCAAAAATAGTATATCTTCTTCTTCTTCTGCGGACTTTGGGGCCCCGAAGGGCGCGTCCCACAGACTAGTATAGGTACTTGTTATAAGGCCCCTATGGTACCATTATAGTACCCTTATGGATCCCTTGTAGTAGCCCTTATAGACCCCTTTCAAGGAACCCTATGAAGGCCCCTATATTACAGTGCACCGATGAGGAAGTCGGGCCTTCGTCACCTTCATCCCTTTATCAAAGTGTAATGGGGACCCCTGCCCTACAATGGGCTGTATAATGGGTGTATAATAGCTATATTAAGGGTATATACCTAGAGGTCCTTATTAAGGGTCCCTTCTTGTACCCTTGGACTTTATTCTTGTCATGTCCGAGCTGTGATTATGCGCCACGCAGCCCGAACTACTTCTACAGTGGTTTTGATTTTTGGTGGCGGAGATGACCCTGACGCGGATAGTCGTAGTAAAGATAAACGTGATGACGACGAAAATCCTGTTTGCGATGGAATTCCTTCAAAGCACAATCGGCTTACCTGTGAAGGCTATTGGAGCTTCAGGTAATGCTGGGCCATGGACCTCGCGCGTCGTGCTTCAGCTTGAGGCCACCAGCATCGTCCTGATCCGCACTGCGAGATCTTCAGGTTTGGGGTTTCAGGCTGTAATTCCCACAGAACCCACTACCCTGCAAGTAAGGAAGTCCCTATGTAGTTGAAGTACAGAACCACACTCCAATTCTTGGGCCCCCCCTTTTTACATGCCTCTTCTCTACCCAAACTTAGCGTCTTTGACACAAGTATTCGCCCAAATGATGAAGGAACCCTTCAGTACTGGCCATGATAACAAAGGCCTCAGTCGGTTTAGTGTTCAAGGGTTGTCCTTCTCGTAGTCTTTCTTGTGGGAAGGAAGCTGTCAATCACAGGTCTAGTACAGGGGCCTTTTTACTTGCAGTTGGAGTCCCCGAATACAAGTATTATAATAAAGTATACCCCCAACGCCGACTCTAACCATTAAGGCCCCTATGTTAAAGAATCCTACTACAAATCACTTATAGCTCCCTTTTTAGAAGGATCCCTTTGAAATTGACCTGAGTCTTACCATGAAACCCTAAACCCTAAAGCCTGTTCGAACCATGTTCCTTCAACATGGGAGCAGCCCCGAACCGGCCTTAAACTTTTTGCCGTAGATGCTTTCTCCGCCGGCACCGGTGCCCGTGACGAAGTCTCCCCCCTGTCAGGGCTCAGGGTTTAGGGTTGAGGGTTGTGCAAACAACAGAAGAACTTAATTGTCCTATGGAACTACAGGTTAATCTTTGGGAATATAGGTACTATGATACCCCAGAAGGTTATAAAGGCTACTCGAGACTCTACTCCTATGAGAATAGAGATGCTCAAGCCTTGAACCGATGAAGCCTTTCTGGCTAAGCAGCCACGCAAACCAGCAGCAGCAGCGGCAGCAGTAGGAGTAGCAGCAGGAGCTGCAGTCGCGGCAGAAGTAACGGTAGTGGTAGCAGTAGCAGCAGCGGTAGCAGTAGCAGCAGCAGCCGCGGCAGCACAAGTGAAGATGTCCAAAATACATCTCTGAACTCAGTACCCGGAACGCTACGAAGGCAACAATCCCCAACCCACCAAGAAAAAGCAGGAAGTACTGGACCGACTTTCTACTATAGAGGCCTGAACAACCAGGAACTTAGCAGTCGTATCCGCTGTATAGGTAGGCTATACTGTACTACACCCCAAAACCGTGGTCGAATTAGTAATTCGCAAACGCCTGCATCATGAAGCCCTTGATGACCCGGTGGAAGGGGACGTTTCGATAGCACATCTCCTCGCACTGGCGTGGGCCCTAATCGCCAACAAAATGAGGTGGGTTTTTCGGGGTCCGGTCACGTAACGATTCAGGTGCCTTCTACCTGAATGACATACGAAAAGCTAATTGTTAGCTCACCTTGCCCCGCGGCCCTCGTCCTGCGTTCAACCGTCACCTGAGAATCCCTAACAAATTTGAGTCGAGCCTTGGGTCTTGCAATGAAATGTGTGGACGCCAAGGGGAGATCCAAACTACAGTATCGCCAACTCACCGTAAAACCCTCGAGACCACTTGACCCCAATTCACCCTAAACCACAAACCCTGTGATCACCGAAAGCATGTTGCAAAACACCCTAGAACCCGGACACCGCCCAGTAACGAAATCTGTGTACAACTTCAATAGACGGGTCGACGAACCGTATGCGTGCCGTAAACCCTAAACCCCACGCGAAAAAAAGCCAATGCCCAACCAAAAACCACCATAACTCTTTGCACAAACTCCTTGCACAGCTTTAATAGAACCCTCATCGAACCCGACAGCCGCCCCAAATCAAAAAAACACAGAAAACACGTTGCAGACTTCAACCATCTCCTGCTGAAAACCCCCGCACCTCTCAGACAAGAAAAGATAATCACGTTAATGCTACCAACCATCACAACCTGAGTGTGTGTGTGTGTGTATTATATATACGTATAGAGAAAGATAAGTATATATATATATAGAGAGAGAGAGAGAGAGAGAGAGAGAGAGCCGTACACACCTACGCCTACGCTATGTATACATGCGTACACACATGTGCACGTATGTACAGTAATTATGTATGTATGCATGTATGTATGCATGCATGTATGCATGCATGTATGCATGTATGTATCAGTGAGGAGGGGTAGGGGGTTCGGCCGTGTTCCCGTACAGATGCGGCATGCGGCTGGGAAACGTTTTGCATGGGAAAGCTGTCCTTCTTCCCTGATTCTCCAGTGCCAAACGTGTGCTGTGGTAGTTTGCCAGCTCTGCTACTGTTAAATGCCGGGGGCTGTGACTCCCTTGCTCGGCTGGGACTGAGACCGTTCGTCCGAATGCTGTCATGATTGAATGAGTGTATGTATGTATGTATGTGAGTGTATGTACATACATACGTTTGTATATGTGTATATAAGTATATATAGTTTGTGATTCTATATGTATGTGGCTCCGCTCCTTCCCAGACTCCTTGGACTTCCCCTTCTCTCCCGTGCAGAAGGCCTGCGCAGGTCAAAATTTGGGGTTTAGTGTATAAGCGTCCCACAGAAGCTGTTATATGGGCTTAGGTTCCTTTCAGCACCTTTTCCCGTCTGCCCACGTGTTTAGGGTTGGGGGTTTTGTTATAAGGGCTTCAAGAATAGAGGACCTTCATATGAAGCCCTAAACCTTGAAGCCCCCGGTAGAAACCCAACCACACATCCGCATCAGCCTTGAAGTTGGCACAGGCCATCGGGCTCTCCTTGTCGAAGAGCTCGATCTCGGATTCTACTGAGGCTTGTGGGAAATAGGGCTTAGGGGTTGAGGGTTTAGGGCTTCATCTCGAACTCCACCAAGGCTTCGTGCGGTGCCACAGCAGAGCTACGGTTTAGATTTGTGTTCTTGTCTTGCAGCGGCGGGGATCCATTTTCCAAACTTCTCCCCAGCGTCACATGTTAGGCATTAGGGCTGCTGAAGAGATCAAGCGAGCATTTCAACGTCGTTAGCAGTCCCCAAAAAAGCTGCGACGCATCCAAGGAAAAGCATTTATCGGGTTCTTGGGGACTTTTGTCTTGGTCTGGAGGGTTTTGACTTTTGGTGATGGGCAAAAAGCTCGAGGATGGCGAAGTGCTCTTCAGCCGAAGCCTAAACCCTAAATCCCTGGTCGAGCTCCGGGCGACCACGCGCTGCTGGGGTGGCTTGAACCTGGTGGAGCCCGAAACCCTTCTGCAGCCTAATCCATAGCAGGACAGAACCACAAAGCACTGAAACAGCCTTAACCAGATATAGGCGATAATGTAGGGGTCTAAAGTAGTCTAAACAGCTAGCATATGTAGGGTGTTGAGACATAGGATACTATCAGGAACAGTGCTTAACGTACTAACTTTTTCTAGCGCCTGTAGTAGGCTGAGCCCTACCCAGAACCCCAAACCCAAAACCTGAAACCCTAAACCCCAAATCCAGAACCCTAACACCTAAACTGTGGCCCTATGATGATTTGGGCTTCGTGGAGGGTTCAAGATTAGGGCGGGCTTTTGGGGAAAAGGGTTTAAGGTTTCAGCTTAGGGGCTTAGAACTTAGGGCCCTTAGGCTTGGTTCGTGTTCAGGGTTTTAATTTTAGGTTTAGGGTTTAGGGTTTAGGGTTTAGGATTTAGGGTTTAGCGTTTAAGGTGTCATAATAAGGAAACCATATTAGACCCCTTAACAAGAACCCTTTATTTAGGGTGTTGGGGTTAGCGGAGCTCGGAGATTTCAAGCTCAGGACATCGAAGGGTCGCAGAGCCGTAGCTGCCACCACGGGGTACATATAGGGGAGCCGAACCCTAGTATATTGTACCGGGTTTCGGGGCTTTGGCTTTAGAGGTTTGGGGTTTCAGGGGATAAAGGTCTTGGGATAAACTTCCTGAACCAAACTGTTAGAGATACCTCCAGAAATATCCCACAAAGGAACCTCTAAAGCATCCCTTACAGTAGCCCTTAACGGAGACCCTCCGGGCTAAATCTCGGTCGATCGCAGGGTTCGTATACAGTTGCGTCCCGGTGCCTTAAAGTCTCCCTTAGGATCCCTCATGCCGCACTTCCTTGAACCACCCTCCCCTAAGGATCCTATGAATAAAGGAAGCCTATAAAAAGCTGTATCTACACTATTCCGACTCCTGTCCTGTTGTAGCTCTGGGCGGCGGACAGGGCTCTGCCCTTCTGGCTCCACTCGTAGTCGGACTGGGCAGCGCATCTCGTTCAGTTTGGCGGGAGACATGGTTGTTTAGTCATGGCCTCTTGCAATCCCTACATACGTATGCACACCCATATGTCCCAAAACCTTTTTCTAATTCTTGAAGCCCTATACAAAAAACAACAACCCAATGGTACACTATGAATCAACTTACAAAACCTCACATAGCAGCCCTACAAAACATTACCAGAGCCCGTGCTTTTTCAGGGCTCCTGTGTATTAAGCTTAAGGCTTGCAGCCACTCCCGAATCCCGAATCGTGCCTCGAAAAGCTCCGGGAGCCGTGAGAGCTCCGAGCCACCGAGTGCCAAGACGTCCTCACGGAAGCTTTACTTGCTGCTTCATGAGGCTTTTCTGGGCTTTACAGCTCTACAGGGATATGATATACGCATGCATCTACATATAGCTGTATACAGAAATCTGCATATGTTGTCATGGGGTATATGTATGTGTTGATGAATATATACATACATAATTTATATATGTGTTATATCTGTCTATCGATCTGTCTATCTATATACCTATATCTGTATGTATGTGTATATGTATATATAGATATTTATATACGTATTTGTTCGTGATATACGTACATACACATATACACAGCTACACTCTTATATACACTCATGCATCTCTACGAACATGCGCACATGCATATACATATACCTTTAGACATACATATATGTATGTATAGAGATACGTACGTACGTACATACATACTTTAAATGAACCCATCCGTCCATCCATCCACCCATACAGCCAGCCAGCCAGCCAGCCAGCAAGCCGGCCAGCCAGCCAGGCAGCCATCCAATCCGTCCATCCGTCCAACCATCAGTCCATCCGTCTGTCTCCATCCCTCCCTCGATCCCTCCATCCCTCCCTCCATTCCTCCATTCCTCCATCCCTTCCTCCATCCCTCCCTCCATCCCTCCATCCCTCCCTCCATCCCTCCATGACTCCCTGCATCCGTGCATGCATGCATCCGTGCACGCATGCATCTGTGCATGCAAGCATGCATACATGTACCCATGCCTACTTACATGCCTAAGCGCCTGCCTGACTTCCTGCCTCCGCTACGATACTTAGATAAGGCTTCGAGGATTGCGCTTGGGGATTTGGGATCTGATATTCGGAGCGAGGCAGGGCGTTTAGGGCTTAGGATCTTTGGACATAAAACCCTACAGAAAGACTGAACTCGAGGTGGCTCCTTGGAGCTCAAGGAGTACTTGATGTCATTGGCCTGGCCAGAAGCAGGAGTCGTGAGGAGCCGAAGCTTGACCGGAGTTGTGGAAAGTTTTGCGGAAGTTGAGCCTTGGGTTTAGGGGTTTCAATTGAGTAGTTGTCAAAACTATGGTCCCAATTGGGGTCCCTATTAAAATACGGCACCTATTATTTAGGGTACTCAAAAGGGGACCCTCATTTTGACAACCACCCTTCCAGCTGGTGGTCCGGGAATTTGAGAATTCAAGCTTAAGTTTCGGCTAAACTTCTCCTGCGGGCTTCGAAGGACGTAGATTTTATACGAATTCCGCTCGATGACTTAAAGAATGGATGACAGCCTCGTCCAGCACCAGCTGACAGCCCTTCCAACAAGCCCGTCACAAAACAAGTTAACATCTTTCAAAAGCCGGTTTTGAACAGCTAAACAAGGAACCTGGCCAGGAAAAACGAAACACTACTACGCAGCCACACCATGGAATAATCAAGTCATCAAACCTTGCAAGCCTAATATGCCTAAACCCTAAACCCCCCAATAGCCTAAACCCCTAAACCCTGAATCAATCTAGTGGCCTCCACGAAGGCCTGGCCGAGCTTGAAAGCCGCCAGCTCGCCGTCGATGTCGACGTCCAGGAAGGCCTCTTTGGGACTTTAGGGGTTTAGGGTTTAGGGGTTTAGGTTTAGGGTTTAGGGGTTTAGGGGTTTAGGGTTTAGGGTTTACTGTAAATACTTAGTTACTGGTAACCCAAATGTCCCCCTGATCCTCCATGCCGAGCACATCATGATATACTACGGTTTGACGGCGGTTCTCAACAGCTTCTAAACAGGCTTTCTGGGCGCTGAGGATCGTAAAAGGGCTCAAGAAAAAGGGCTTGTAGATGAGTCCTAAACGGATTCTGAAACATGTCCATATAGGTTTCCCAAGTATCGACAAGACTAGTGATCAAAAAGGCTCCTATAGGGGCTGTGCACAAGCTCCTAACCATTATTGAAAGGTTGTACAAGGCTTCTACAACGGCTCCATGGGTTTCGCATACGACTCTGACTGAACGGCATCTAGAAGGGACGAAACTGGACACCCGAACACAAAGTCTCACACCCTCACAGGCATACAAAGTCTACGGTTAAGGGCCGATTCGGGTCTAGTACTGGTTTTGGCGATACTATTTTGGCGATACTAAGCATGGCAAGCATAGTCATCACTATGCTCGCGACATTTCTCCACAGCCCCTGGAACCTGAATACAAACACAAACCCTAAAAACAGCAAACCCTATAAACCCTGAACCATTAAGGCCCGAGTGTTCGATCCTTCACCGTAGAAACCTGACTTTTGGCTACAATAACCCGAAGAATAGAGTTCAGGGTTGAGGGTTTAGGATTCAGAGATCGACAAGCCCGGATCCATCATATAGGAGTCGGAATAGTGAACTATAGTATCTCCTCCTCACGACCCCTATCTAAATATCGTGAAACATGCACCGAAACCCTACTCTCACCATTCAGACTCCCATAGTCTTCAGAACCCTCAAAAAATCATGCGGCTCTCAGTCGAGGCCTTGCTGGTCATCGCGCAGGATCGCGGTGGTCTCCCGCTTTGGACTCTGCTACGAAGCTACTGTTCGACGACTCATGCAGTGAGCTTGGAGCTGTTTGGGGGTCGCTTCTTCTCCTTTGGGGGGCTCAAAAAGTTGCAGTAGTGGTGGTGGTCGTGGTTGTGTGGTGATGGTGGCGGTGCTGCTAACTGTTTCAATCAGTGGGATTGGGAGGGACCCGGTCGAACGTGTGCTAGTAGTAACAGCTGGCAAACCCTAAAAGCCTCTAGTCCCAAAACGTAAGCTTGAACACCTAAAGTGGGGCTCAGGGCTATGAGCAGTAGCGCCCTGTTGCCTATGGGCTCAGATGAGCACTGAGACAGCTGCATCAGAGGCACATCATGGGACTTGGCAACTAGGCTGAACATGAGGTAACTCTAACCATAAATACTTGTCACCCCAACTAAGGCGTGTACGACTTTACTTACCGAAGTGCCATGATCCTCCATGTGATGAGTTTGAAGGCGGCTTCAGCCTTCCACTATACTACCAGCCCGAAACTCCTAATATAGAAGCTCTGAAGAATGGAAGAACCTGATTAAGAAACCTTGGGCCTCTATTCGGGCTCCTTATATGAACCCTAGTATTTTTGGGTTATCGGCCCAGGGTTTCTTCATCAGGCTCCTACATTAGCTGCCAATACGGGAGTTTCCGAAAATCCTAAATAGCAGGATCTTTATTTTAAGGGCCCCAAAAGAAGGTACCCCCAATTTTCGGAAATTCCCATACTATTCCGAGGCAAGAGTGTCCAATGGCTTTTCTTCTGGCGAACGGTGCTTCTTCGAAGCAACCGACGTCACATGCTCTAAGCAGGTCGGAAAGGAAAAGGCTGCCTCGCCGCAATCATCCCAAGACTCCAGTGTTAAATTTTAGGACCTTGAAGCTAAATCGTATAAACCTCAACCCTAAACCCTAAACCCTAAACCCTAAACCCTAAACCTCAAAAGTTCTCAAATAAACCTCAAAAAGTTCTCAAACCTAAGCCTTGAAGACCCTAAGCAGAGCTTGCAAGCCTGAACTTCCTGTTTAAATGCTGGCCCAGCATTACTAAACTTAGAATCAAGAACACCCAACATAGTATAGGTAATTATTAAGGCCCCTATATTACCAGTTTTGCAGGAAGGAGTCAAGAGCCTCGTTCCAAAAGCCAAGATTTTTGGCTTCATCCGAAAGGGGCGCAAATCGCCAAGACCGACCACTTATGTACAAGGAACTGTTGTTCCAGAGTTTGAAGGATGCTTGATCAGATCTTACTATGCCACAACAATTGGCTCCACAAGTGCATGCAACATCGCAGAATTACAATTTGTATGCTAGGAACAAATCAAAAAAACGACCTATGCTGGGATACAAGTAACTTAAAGTGGAGCTGTTCCACTCACAACCGTACTTGCGATCTGCTTACTTATCAGTCCCTCACTCGACCCTCTCAACAGGGTACTTCTCTAAAATCAGGGTCCTCCTTTGGATCCCCCAGAACAATACATCAGCAGCATCCTCATCCTGAACCAAGGGCCTGGAGTGCCTCCTTGTGAGCTGTGAGGACTGCCGCTCGGGTCTCTGGCCAGATGCCCCTTTGCTCCAGCGCCGCGATGGCAGAAGACTTGCCTGGAGACGTCAGCCTACTTGGGCGATCAGGGGACGTAGCAAGTAGGGTCACAAGTACCCTCATTAGACGAGTTAAAGTTACATGTAAGTAGAACTCTAGTTACCTTATTTATGACCCGAATTACCAAATCCTATGATCCTCCAAGCACCCGCGTGGCCTGAATGATATGTTCTTGTGGAACATAGCAGGGTTCTATTCCTAAACCTGGACACTGAGGGTTTGGACTTTAGGGTAGCCATGAGCTGCAGTGTCCAAATGCGATAACACCATCATGGAATCCAGACTTACCACTAGCAAACACAGAAACAGGAAGTACCCTACAATCGACATGTAGATCTTGTTCTTGCAGTTTTCTGTTGTTGCTCTTATTGGTACATATTAACCAAGAGTGCCCATGTGTACCTTTGCTTCGGAATCAGAATCCTGACGACCTCACGCGTACTTACTATGGTTTTGGGAACCTACTTCCACAAAAGTACATCCTAATCCCTACGCCGAAAAGTCCTGAACCCTGAAGCCTAGATCCTAAACCCCCTGAAACCCCCTATGAGAGAGAGCCCCTGAGAGACCTTGCCTGCAGATGTCAGGCGACCCATACCCCGGGCTGCACCGACAGCGATCTGCTCATCGCGATGCCTGGGCGCATGGGCCTCTATCAGTACGGTTTCGGGTTTAGGGTTCGGGTTAGGGAGAGGGGTTACGGGTTCTGGGTTTAGGGTTACGTATTGGGGCCCAGGGTTAGGGTTTAGAGTTCTGGGTTTAGAATTTAGGGTTTTAAGGCTAGGGAGAGGCTTTAGGCTTTAGGGCAGTTTAGGGTTCTGGGCTTAGGGTTTAAGGTTAGGGATTGGGGGTTTAGGCGGGTTTAGGGTTTATAAGGAAGGTTCTAAGTTTAAGCTCTTCACAAGTAAGCAAAAAGCGATGCGTGCTTTGTTATGGTAACTTCAACCAACTTCCCCAACACATGCCCAGATGCATCAGCAGAGGTCGCAGAATAGCGCAGAGTTCCTCCTGTCTGTCCGCTGGAACATCCTCCTTACAACACGGGGGCCTGAATAGTTACTTTAGGGTTTAGGGCTTGGGAGCACATGTTACAGTATCATATTATGGTTGTAATGGAACGCTACGGAAGACTACTGCTTAACGGCTTTGAGAAAGCTGCAGAAAAGGCTGAGCTAAACGGGATGCTTTATACTCTAGACATAGAGGGACTATGGCATGGGGTTTATGCAACGTAGGAGGCTTTTAGGGAAGTATATACATAAAAAACAAACACTTCTTACTGAACTGATTCTCCTCGGATTTTGCAAAGGCCTGCAAGCCCAGCAAGACGACGTCAGAGTCCTGGCACTGAACCCTCAACCTAAACCCTGAAACCCTAAACCCCAAGCCTAAGCCCTAATCCCTGAACCCCGGTCCCTGAAACCTAAACCCCAAACCCTAGATCATGAACTCAGTCCCAGAAACCTCAACACTAGACCCTAATCCCTGAAACCCGAACCCTACACCCTAGTCCCTCAAGCAAACCTAAACCCTAAACCCCCAAACCTAAAGCCTAAACCCCGAAACCCAGAAAACTCTAAACTGCAGAGTCCTAAACCCTAAACCCCCAAACCTAAAGCCTAAACCCCGAAACCCCTAAAACTCTAACCTGCAGAGTCCTGGCACTGAAAGGATCGCGAAAGGCAGCTGAAAGGCACCGGAACTAGCTGCTCGGCCAACAGTCCCAGTGCCTCTGCTCTGGGGTTTAGGGTTTTGGGGTTTAGGGTTTAGGGTTTTGGGGTTTAGGGTTTAGGGTTTTGGGGTTTAGGGTTTAGGGTTTAGGGTTTAAGGTTTAGGGTTTAGGGTTTAGGGTTTAGGGTTTAGGGTTTAGGGTTTAGGGTTTAGGGTTTAGGGTTTAGGTACAAGATCATGAAACTTGGTAGCTAGGGTTCAAGGGCCCCTTTTAAGGGATCTATAGAGGTGCTTGGAGGGTTTAATCGTTCCTATACTTAGAGGATCACAGGACTTAGTAACTAGGATTGTAAACAAGTTGGGCTTATACCCTGATTTACTTGGCGTGGAGGATCAAGGGAGCTAGTAAGGTTAGAACTACCTCAGCTGCGGTCATAAGTAAGTACAGGTATAGTTAACCTTGTCTATAACTCTAGCTACCAAGTCCCAAGACCCTTGAAGTAGTAGAGAAGGTTTCGAAGCATTGGGTTAAAAACCCTAAACCCTGAACCTCAAACCGTAAACCCTAAACCCTAAACCCTAGACCCGAAACCCTAAATCGATTCGAGTCTTGCCGCCTCCAGCTTCACGGAGCTGTCGGAATCTCCGAAATACTTCAGCGCCGCACTTCGGACTTCTTCATCCCGTGAAAGAGGCCTCCGGGTAGACACGGCCCCCTATACCGCCTCAGAAGCATAATAAACATAATGCCTTTAATACTCTCTTGGGGCTTATCTGAACAAAAATGAAGAAAAATCCTAAGGAGACTATATAGCCTCAATCCCTGAACCCCAACTCCTCGACTCTCACCCTAAATCTTAAACCGTGCACCCTCAATCTTAAATTTCCAAGAACGGTACCTCAAAGCAGATAGGGCCGCAGCTCGCAAGCCGAGAGTGGGATCCTCTGCGGCGCGGAGGAGCGACGTCTTGATCTCCTTCAGCTGCCCTAATGAAGAATAGGGTACCTTTGAGGGGTTCCTTTGTTAAAGGGGCCTATAAGGGCTACTATAAGGGATTTATTAGAGTATATACTGTCATATACGGACCAAGTACCCAAAATCCCAAACCCCAAACCCTCAACGCCCAACGCCTTGAACCCTTACAGTACCGCCATAGATCCCCTCAAGGATCCATTAAAGGGACCCAAAAGATCCCCTACTAGAGATCCCTTAAAGGAACCTTGAAAGGAACCCTTAAAAAGGAGCCCTTAAAGGATCCCTTAAAGGGACCCTAAGTAAGGTCTACTTGGAGGATCATGGGACTTAGTGACTCGGGTTATAACTAACGTTATAATTAAACCCCACTTACGGTACTTATAACTTTACTTACTAAGTCCCATGATCCTCCAAGTAGACCCTAAACCCTAAACCCTCAACCAAACCCTATAGACCCCTGTAAGGAACCCTATAGATCCCTTTAAGGAGCCCGTTAAGAACCGTCCCCTGATCCTCTAAGTAATCCCTAAACCCTAAACCCTTCTAGTACTGTACCCCTGTAGACTCCCTTAAAGGGGCCCTTAAGATAACCCTAATTACTATACTAAGTCCCATGATCCAAAATTGTAATTTTAGCTGTTTCTTCGGGATTATAATAACCAAAAAATTAAAAATTAAAGGACCGGATAACCCCACATGTGAAGATCATCCATTCGTATAGAACACAAAGGTGCAGAAGAGTAAATGAGTGAGGGAGTAAATGAGTGTGTGAGTGAACGAATGAGTGAGTGCTGCTGTGAGTGCGTACGTGGGTGTACGGTGTATGATGTGTGCATGTGTGGTGTGCGAGTGTAGAGAGAGAGTGTGTGTGTGTGTGTGAGTGTGTGTGTGGGTGTGAGTGTGTGAGTGTGTGAGTGTGTGAGTGTGTGAGTGTGTGAGTGTGTGAGTGTGTGAGTGTGTGAGTGTGTGAGTGTGTGAGTGTGTGTCTGGGTGTCTGAGTGTCTGTGTGTCTGTGTGTCTGTGTGTCTGTGTGTCTGGGTGTCTGGGTGTCTGCGTGTCCGTGTGTCTTTGTGTCTGTGTGTCTGTGTGTCTGTGTGTCTGCGTGTCTGTGTGTCTGTGTGTCTTCGTGTCTGTATGTCTGCGTGTCTGCGTGTCTGCGTGTCTGCGTGTCTGCGAGTCTGCGTGTCTGTGTGTCTGTGTGTGTCTGTCTGTGTCTGTGTGTGTGTCTGTGTGTGTCTGTGTGTGTGTGTGTCTGTGTGTGTCCTGTGTGTGTCTGTGTGTGTCTGTGTGAGTCTGTGTGTGTCTGTGTGTGTGTCTGTGTGTGTCCTGTGTGTGTCTGTGTGTGTCCTGTGTGTGTCTGTGTGTGTCTGTGTGAGTCTGTGTGTGTCTGTGTGTGTGTCTGTGTGTGTCGGTGTGTGTCGGTGTGTGTCGGTGTGTGTCGGTGTGTGTCTGTGTGTGTCGGTGTGTGTCTGCGAGTCTGCGTGTCTGTGTGTCTGTGTGTGTCTGTCTGTGTCTGTGTGTGTCTGTGTGTGTCTGTGTGTGTGTGTGTCTCTGTGTGTGTCTGTGTGTGTGTCCTGTGTGTGTCTGTGTGTGTGTCTGTGTGTGTGTGTGTCTGTGTGTGTGTCTGTCTGTGTGTGTGTGTTGTCTGTGTGTCTTTGTGTCTTTGTGTCTGTGTGTCTGCGTGTCTGTGTGTCTGCGTGTCTGTGTGTCTGTGTGTCTTTGTGTCTGTGTGTCTGCGTGTCTGCGTGTCTGCGTGTCTGCGAGTCTGCGTGTCTGTGTGTCTGTGTGTGTCTGTCTGTGTCTGTGTGTGTCTGTGTGTGTCTGTGTGTGTCTGTGTGTGTGTGTCTCTGTGTGTCTGTGTGTGTCCTGTGTGTGTCTGTGTGTGTGTCTCTGTGTGTCTGTGTGTGTCCTGTGTGTGTGTGTGTGTGTCTGTGTGTGTCTGTGCGTGTGTCTGTGCGTGTGTCTGTGTGTGTCTGTGTGTGTCTGTGTGTGTCTGTGTGTGTCGGTGTGTGTCGGTGTGTGTCGGTGTGTCTGTGTGTGTCGGTGTGTGTCTGTGTGTCTGTGTGTGTCTGTGTGTGTCTGTGTGTGTGTCTGTGTGTGTCTCTGTGTGTGTGTGTCTCTGTGTGTGTGTGTCTCTGTG